CACAGTGAACAACATGCTGCAAAGCTCAGAGAAAAGGGATGCCTCAGTCCAGTGAGCTCTAGGACAGCAAATACCCATCCAGCTAAGACTGACCTGTTTGATTTCTTGAGCTTCTGCATAATAGCCTGTCCTGTGCCAGGACCTAAAGCTCCTAGTTAAAGGAAATCCCCTGGCTGATGCTAAAAATCCAGCATTTCCCCCCACCAAAATAGATAATAGCAGGTTGTTATTCCTGCACTAGGGCCAAGTAGGGGCTGAACAATCTGTGGAAAACCTTTCTCAACCTTTTCTTTTCATGATTTTTTATATTTTTTTCCCCCAAGGTATTGATCTCTTCATTGTGGAGAATTAATTTATATAATTTGTATCCAAAATGTGCACTTAAATTATGTTAATAAATATCCACAGATATAAGCTGTTGTATCACTTTACATTTTCAACTGCTGAGCATAAACTGAAGAGCTGACTTGAGCTGAACAAGCAAAATAGCAGCCATTGAGAATAACTTCATAGAATCATAGATTCATAGAAAGTTAAGGGGTTGAAAGAAACTTTAAAGACCATCTAGTTCCAACCCCTGCCATGGGCTGGGACACCTTCTGTTAGACCAGGTTGCTCAGAGCCCCATCCTCTCATCCTCTCACTGAACTGAATTTATTTCAATCAGAATCAAAGTCGATGTGCTGCTTAAGACCAGTGTCAAGGAAAGAATTGCCTCTACCCCAGAAGGAGAGCATTTTAACCATGTGAATTATAAATCTTCAGCATCAAATGAAAGTAAGGGCTCTTCCAGCAAAGTGTCAGTGCTGGAACTGGGGAAGAAAACACAGAGATAACTGCTTAAATAGCCACGTTGTATTTTCTTAAGTTGTTTAAATTGTATTTTATTCCTATATTCTCAAGTCCATGTATTCTATATCCTACTTTGTATTCTGTATTGTATCTGCATTTGAAATTTCTGTTCCTGAACTTTCTCTAGTCTGCCTTATCAGAGCTTCAGGACCAGCAGGTGTAAAAGCAGAGAACTGGACTGCTTCTGGAAAGTAGTAAGTGATGTTTTACATTTTGGGATGGAAAGGAGTGTTTAGCAATGGGAGTGGTGGAAAGAGGGAAGGAAAATCATTGGTTTATGCAGCATTGTCCAACCAACCAACAGGTCAGAAATACTCTGTAGGAGAAACTGGTTTCAGAGTTTCAGACACATGATGGTCCTGAGGCATGGCAGGGTCCTGTTTCAGCATCTTTATGGATCAGGGGCAAATGTGTCCTGCTGTCAGATGTCTGCTTTTGAGAGCACTGCCTTCTGGACTCCACAGAGCTTCTGTCCACGATGTGCACTGGGTCCACCTGGAGAGTTTCACTCCGCTTCCTGGGGCTGAATTCTGGGTCTCTGTACTATTCCTATCCTTTCCATTTTGGGTAATAAATCTTGGCTTGTCAAAATACAAAGAGGGGGGTGTGTATGTGTGTGTGAAGTTTTGGAAACTCAAGACACTGCTAATGCCAGAACTACTTCCCAAGAAAGATGACCAGATGGAGGCCATGAACTTACATTTAACATTCTACTATAAAAAGATGAAGTAAAAGTAGACTTCTCTTTTCATTAAAAGTTTGTGTAAGACAGGAAGAGGAAAGAACTTCCTCCTGAAGGTTAGATAGGAGAGCGAGCTATGAGTCGTACCCACTCTAAAATGCCATTCTAAGACAGCAGCAAGAGGAAAGAAGGAGAAGGGAGAGCAAGAATGGCAGAAAATTTCACCGTCACTGACTTGAACTTGCCTGAATCAAGCAGATCCAGACTGCAGGAGGTGCCTGGTGTCCAAGGTAGGTCGGTTGGTATGCATTGAGCTTTCTTTGTGTTCTTCAGTTTGTCTCCCACATATTTGGAAAAGTGCAATGGAGCAACAAATGCCCAAAGAGCATGAAGGAAATGTGAGGGGCAGTGCTGTGAAAAATGTGCAGGGGGGTCTGCATATAGGTTGGGGTTTTTTAAAAAAATAGAAAGGGTATTGCTCTAAGGTCTGCTTTTCATTTATTAAGGTACAAGTGTGAGGGAGAGTCTCTTGTGTGATGTTAAGAGTAGTTTTTATCAGTTTTGGAGATTATTCCACACCTGAACATCCACTGGCTCTGAACCAGGCATGTTCTCCCACAGCACTCTGATCCCTGCAGCAAACTGATCAGGAGATTGAGTGTCCCCTGTTCCTGGTGTTTGCCACAGGCTCTCACACAGCCTGTTTCTGCTGACTGAGCACAGCAGGCATTTCCTCAAGACTTTTCCTCCTGGCTTTGTCTGTGCAAACTATTGTTTAATACATCAAGTGTAAAATGTTTCATGGCCAGATTTAGTTTGATTTAGTATAAAAGACTGCCAAATCCTAACCTATGATTTAGCTTTCTTTAAACCCTTACCAACTCTGCTCTTCTATGTGTTCACTTACTTTATTTTAAATATTTTCCAGATATAAAATCTATATCTTACAGAAAAAAGCTCAAAAACTGTCTTCTCTCTTCTTTGCTTTTTTTTTTTCAACTTTGCTATTTTCTCTTTGATGGTGGATTCCCTGGATACAGTGCAGTGTTCACAAAATAGTGACATTAATTTCATGAGCCAGAAGAAAGCACTAAAACTCCCAGAAAACATTAACTCTGTACAGTGATAGAACCCAAAGAGCTCAGTGCTGTATAAGAGGATGACTTCGAGTGTTTCCTTTCTGGAAGAGTTCCACATGCAATACCTTGACATTTCACTCAGGGACTTTCTGAGGCAGTTGTGTTTCTATTCATACACCCTTCTTAGTCATCTCCTTTCTGTACTGCGGAACCACAGTCTACACCGTCACTTACCCTTCTCTGGAAAACAGGGGTGGTATAACTGAGGCACTACTGAAGGTAGAGGCAAATCATGGTTTCATAAACCCACATGGTAGAGAAACCATCCTTGATATTTGACATTTACCTGCTGAATAATTCCTAATGTTTTAATATCTCCATTACAGGAGATATAAAAAAACCTGACTGTGCATGGTCCTGGACATCCTGCTGTAGCCAACACTGCTTGAGTAGGGAAGTTGAACTAGGAAATGTGAAAAGGTCACTTCCAACCTAAACAATTCTGTGACTGTGAGGTCAGGACACCAGAGCTGATGTTCACAGATCTCCTCTAGAACTATTTTATTTTTAATTATACCAGATCTGATACCTTCTAGTCCCTGGGTGCAAACAAAGCTTTAAGAGTGGGGTTACAAGAGAGCATTAGCAATCCAGCTATCTCCCACCTAGGATTATTCCTCCCTTGGAATTCGTTAGTATATCTATATTTCATTTGGGCCACATGTCTTCCAGTCCATGCAGCTCCTCACAAGGAATTACCATGAACTGCAAGATCTACCAGTTCTTACTCAGTCAACCCTGACACAAGGGATTAATTTAGCTTCTCTACTATGACCTTACCTTCTGAGTGCTTCCTGGAGAGCCTACCATCTGCTGGCGTCCAGATCTCCAGCAATGTACCTTCTCTTGATGTGTTTGAAGACACAATGTGTTTGAAACATGTGTCTAAAAAAGTGTGTTTGAAGTCTTTTCCTTTTCAGGTTCTTTTCCATATAATTGATTTTTCTTATATGTAATCTTTGATCTCTCAGGGTTTGTGATACTTTCTATTATCTTCATTTCATGTCTTTGGCTATGGAAAGTCAACAATCTGCTTCTAATGTCAACTTCCTTTTGCCTCTTCCCAGACCATTCTTTGCAGGTGCTTTGGACAGATCATGTGTTGCAGAAAGCTGTCCTTCAATAATACATGGTCTGTCTGTAGGGATTTCATTCTCTCTTAGCAGTCCTTTTTAGCTTCTCTTTCCTAACAACCTTCTCCTTCATACAGTTCTCCTTTCTTACCCACTAGCTTTCTGTTTCTCCTTATGCAATCTATTCCTATGATGACTCTCTTCTAACTGCTTGCTCTTGTAGGGAACGGCGGTCGGAAGATCTCGCGATGTACGGAAAGGTTAGGAGAGGGAACCCCTTCCTATGTATGTTAAGGCTTACGCTAAGGGAAATGACGTGGATTGCTTACGCAGACAAGGCGGCGGTAACGAAGGAGGGATTGTATATAAGGAGGTGTAAGGTAAGCAATAAATGCCTTTTGCAGCATCCTCATATTGCTGTCAGTGGTCATTGGACCGGGGGCCGGTATTGGCCTCTGTGCCGTCTCAGCCGAAGGAGGTTGATTGCCATGAACGGCAACAGCTCTTATACATACAGTATTGGGATGCTGTACAGTTACCTAGGGACAGGTGTGCAGAGCCATCTGGGAAGCACCAGGACATTCAGCCTGGTTTCAGCATGCAAATCTGGAAGGCCACAAATTCCCAATGTGAGCCAGAAAGGGCATCTGTGAATGAAGAGCAAGGGTTCTTTTTTCCAGCTGTTCTCCTAATCTTCAGCTTTCCTCTCTCTCTGTAGGTAAAAGCTGTTGTTCCAGAACATGTGTTGCTCTATCGATTACTGCGATAGTCCTACTGCTGCTCATAGTTGTGTGTCGAATACTCATGTGTAAGTCCTGCTAAAATTAACAGCAATTGATGTGTGACTCTTACCCACCAATTGGTACAATTATGAAAGAATACATTGTTGCTTTGTTAACCTTCCAGTGCCTTTGAACCATTTTCAGTAAAGTTGCTGTCTGAGTCTCTGAGGCAGATTTCAGAGTTAAAGGTGACAATATTCCAGGAGAAAATCGTGCCCCATCCCTTATGCTTTGTAAACTGATTTCCATAGGTTTGTCAGCCTCACTTCACTGTCCCCTTTCCTGGAAGTCAAAAGCCTCCTGTGGGGGACAAACCTATTTCAGCCTGCATGTCTTCCTAAAACCTCAAGTGTATGCTGCTGTCTCGTTTGGGTCTGGGGGAGCAACACTGTTAGACCTGCTTGTAGCCAGGGCACAGGTGTGCTCTGCCCCAATATCTCACCACTGCTGTTCAGGATAGGAGCAGACATTGTCCACAGCTCCAGGCTGTGTGGAAATGTGCTTAACCAAGGATAGATTGGCTTGGGCACTGATCTCTCAAAAATGGCTCTTGTTTCTTATTGCTCTGGATACTTGTGTGCTGTGCATCACATTTACCACTAGTCTGAAAAGGTATGGAACATTTCTAGTTCACTTTCAGAGTTAGGCTCTTTGGAATCTGCTCCATAATATGTACCAGAGTTTTGCATTTTTTTCAGTGGATGAGCAAAACCGGTAGAGTTGGCATTCTGTGTCAGGTGATGGGCAGAAGGCAAAGAGTTCCAGAAGAGCTGTGACAGTGTATGGCTAAATGATCATTCATTCAAAGCAGAAATTGTATTCTTTTTTCCAGACTATCCAACTGCAAGCAGCTCAGGTGCCTCAATAACCTTGTCCCCCATCCCTGAAGAGGCACTTGGTAGGTATTCCTCTATCATTCCAAAGAGATTTTTCAGAAGCCTTTTGAGGGGGGTAGAAAAGGGTGTGGATCTCAATTGTCTTTGGAAGGAAAGCAAACAAAACCTCTGACATCTCAGGAATAAAATCCTTATCCCATACACTCATAAGATGAACTCTGAAGGCCAGAGACATTTCACATTTGCATCTCCTTTAGAAGCAGTGTTGGGTCAGCACTGCATTCCTGTTCCAGAGGAACTGATTTCTCTCTCCTGCTGGTGCAGAGGAGTCTGTGGCAGGTGAATGGACAGGAATATAATAATCCCTCAGGTTTCACAGCATTGTGGTGAGCATGATGGATCAATGTGCCTGGACTGCTTTTCCAATACCCCTCCAGTCTTAGCATCTTAACTAAGTGCAGTTCCCTTTTGCTCTTTAGGAGCTGCTGGATGCCAGGCAAAAACTATACCATGCAGTCCCTGTCTACCTGAATCATATCACCTCCTCCAGGTCCCATTCTCTTTTTCTTCAAGTATTCTGGCTGGCAATGTAGAGAAATGTTTATTCTTTTAGTAGCAACACTACTGCTGAATTTGCAGCAGACAAATCAGACTTTTGAAAACTGATAACTGCTTTCTTTGCCCTGATCATTTCTCTGTATGTCCTGAGCAAAGGTTGGAAAGGCTGCTGCCTTTCTGACTGATGCCTAGTGACTCCTGGGCTCGTCTCAGCTACAGAGATTGTCAGGGATCCTTGGTGGGCTGGTGACAATTATAAGCAGGACTGCACAGGTATTTTCCTGGCTGCAATTTAGTCTCTAATCTTCCTTGTGTCATGGGATCCTTTAGTTAGTGTGAACATGGATTCTCCCGCAGCTGTTCTTCCCTCCTGCAGGCTGCCCCCCACAATGGGAAAAACATGGGAAAAAATGCTACTTCTTTTCTTCAGCGAAGAAAGAAAAGGGCTGGAATGCCTTCCGTAAGGAATGTACTGACATGGATTCAGACTTGGTGATCATTGCCGATGAGAAAGAGCTGGTGAGATCTACCTCCGTGGCGCAGCTTCGAGGGTTGCTTGAGCTGCATGCCAAGGGGCTGAGGAGTTACGTGTGTCAGCTGTTAGATGTCTCTTAGATTTTTTTGAGGGTTTATAATCTGCTACCAGCCATATACATCTGACACCTTGGTATGGGAGAAAATACCTTCAGAGCAAGATGCATCTTGGTGGTTGGAGCCTTGCACCTGGAGGGTTCTCTCCCCAGGCATGCTCCCATGGGAAGGAGCAAACTCTCTGCCCAGCTAACATGTTTTAAAGAGATTTAACACACAAACCAAGGAAGTCAAACAGACACTTATTTGTGAGAATCTCTGCTTTGGCAAAAACTGAAAAGGCTTTCCCATCACAACCAGAATACAAAAGTGTCTCCAGGTATCAATTCACACCTGTCGAACTACAATGCATAGTTCTGGTTATATGACAGATGTGCTATTCTATTTATTCTATTCCTAAGAAGCCCCAGGAAGAGAGATGATAGTCAATAAAACTGGTCAAATTCAGCCTCTGATGCTGTGGAAAGAGCTGGTGTGGCTGGATGCACACTGTACTCTGTGTTGGCTATTTAACACTAAGCTTTCAATGTACCTCTGGGGAAGAAAATGTAATTTAATGTCTTATCATTGTTTACTTCCTTTCTAGCATTACCTTACTGACCGATCAAAAGCTAATTTCTACTTCCTTGGTCTCAGATACTCTGAAAGTGAGCAGAAGTGGAAGTGGATTAACAATGTGGAACACAGCACAAACATGTAAGCTTATTCCAGCAAGTCACTGTCATGGAATGTCTGGAAACAGTAAAAAACCCAAACCCTGAGCAAACAGTAGAGTATAAGTGAGGTCAGGACTGTGATTTGGAGCAACCTGATTCCCTGAGATACAGGTCTTCAGCATATCACTGTGACAAGGAAATTGAAGGACTTAAGCCCCATGGGACTTAAAGGCATGTCCCATCAGGATGGCAAGACAGGACACAGCTGTATTTCTGATGGGGAAGGAAGAATCTGGCAAGGTGGAGTTCTGTGCAAAAGAAGGGATGTATGAGGCAGGAACAAGAGAATATGTGATGTCAGCCTCACTGGATGGAGGCTACCAAAGCAGGGGAAGGTCTCTGGATGGGAAAGCATAGCCCAGATACATTTGTTGAGATGGGACCAAAAGTCAGGAATGGGAGGGAGACTCCCACAAGGCAGTTTCTGATCCCACTGACAATCATGCAGCTTAGCAGCAAGGTCAGGTGCCACTTTGCCTTTCACTGCACTGCATCCAGCTATGTCAGGAATGCAACTAAATCTGACTTTCTCTCTCTTGTTCAGGTTTAACATAAGTGGACAACTTCTTGACTATCTCTGCACAGCAATTGGATATGGCCAAGTAGTAAGGGCACATTGTGATGGAGACCCAGTAACAAAAAATATGTGTGAAAAGGTTGCAACAATATATGAAAGGCAGAAGGAGAGCTAAAAACAAGAGGTTCAGGCAGGAATGTTATGTCCAGCTTCCTGTAGGAAATGTGGATGAGATTTGACTCATTTATTGGCTAAAAGCTGTGAAAGGGACTCCTACAGCCTCTCTCCAGATACCTAGCCAATCTCAGCACATTCTGTCCCAAGATGGGACTCTGAGACTGGATGGATCCCCCTCTAGAGAAGCCTGCATTTGCACACAATAGGAATCTGGGACTTGCTCATACCAGAGGTCTGACTTTCAGGCAGCCTCTGTCAGCTGGTATGAGTCCAACCTTGGTGACAGGTGTGATCCCAAAGAGATCCTACCTCTCACAGACACATGCGTTGATACCCATCTGTTCCCAACCCTGCCTGTGCACAAGGAGACACTTCAAACTCTTCCCTGCAGCCACAAATGAAGGTTAACACATATTTCTACTTTGGATCCTGCAGAATTGTGCAGCCACACTCATTGCCGTGTCTCATAGATGAGACTGACAGGACAAGTCAAATGGGAGGGTGTATAAACCTTACCCTGTAAAAGACTGTCTGTTAAAAGAGCACATGTGGGGCTGACTGTGAATCACCAAAAAAGAAATGATCTTGCACCACAGCTCTGTGCGTAAAATCACCCCTAGTCCTGTCTAGGTCTGGGAAGGTGTATCAGATTAATATTTGCTAAAGAAAGGCAAAGGATAAAGACCAGTAGAGACCAGCAATGCTTGAAAAACAGAGTCACAATGGAAGCTCAAAATATTTTGCTTAATCAAAGACTTTGTACTCAGCATGTTGTGGCCATTGGTGTTGGAAATGGAATCTTGCAGGAAAAACTGTCTCCTTCTGATCTGAAAGCACATTTTGATGCCCCTCAGACAAGCAATCCTCCTCACTGCCCCCATGCATCAAGATGCTTTTGAAACATCTTTGTAGCTCTTCCCTGAATTTTAATCCCCAAAGAACAAAATAAGAACATGTAGCTGTAACAGAATAATCTGTAGAATCACAACTGCTATTTCAGAAGGAATCTCAGCTGGAGGGGCTCTTTGCTTGCCCTCACTTTACTGGAGTGGGTGTTACAGAGGGCTGCCCTTTTCTTGTCATATTCTGTCTGCTGGAATATACTCCCTTTGATCACATGGACTCCCCTGAAGACAAGGGAAATACCTCTTCCCTGAGAGTCACTGAACTTAGGCTGGAGTCTTCAGGAAGCAACAGATGCAAGCAACTGTGCATCAGCAGTGGCAGAAAGGGAAAAACTCCCCAGGGGCCACTGTGGAACTACACAAAGTCCATCAACCCCAGAAAGTCATAAAAAGTCACAGAAAGTCGCAGGACTCAGGAGCAAGTGCTGCCTACAAGGAAATCCCTTAACGGGGATGGAAGTATGATTGAAAGTGGCTTGTTTCCTCTGCCTCTGTGGTTTTCTTGTTCACAAAATTATCTTCTCTGATTTTGTTGTCTTAGATTTTTAAACAAACTTTATGTCTACAGCTCAGGATTCTTTGATTATCTTTTTCATGCCTGCTGCAAGGAAAGTTGAAACATTTCCTGCTAACTCTAACTTGGTCAGGGTCTGATCCCTACGCCATGAGAATGCTTAGGGGAATCTGTAAACGATCTAAACCTAACCTCTCAGTGGCTTCATGTTTGGTGTCCACAGAGAGTTACAAGGCTGTTTTAAATTCTTTATGCAGTTGGGCAGTTGGCTGACACTCACTGGGACAGGTCAGCCTCACAGGGACACATCCTGGATGTATGGCAGGCTACATTAATGCCTTTTATCAAGAAGACCCTGTGACAGAGGGACACCTCCAAGAGGTGTTCTTCAGAGCTTGTCCTGTTTCCATGGACCTATATCCCACTGTGTTTCAAGCAAACCGTGTTCTTCAGTGGGTTATACTGGGTTACTCTGCTTACTGAGTTGAAGTTTCTCCAGTCTCACTTCTCATGGTGGTAAGAGTCTTCTCCTCCACTTTTAGCTGTGATGCTGCTGATATAAAGACATGACTTTCATGCAATTCTCCCCCTGCACAGCTTGCATTTAGTTAACTGGAATGATCATGGAATTATCAAGCCACAGACCTGACTGGCTGAGCACATGTGACGAGAAAATGTGCGTGTGCATGTCTGTATAGACACAGATATTCACATTAACCCTCTGAAATGCTTCCTTGGTATAAAACTATTTGTTGATTAAGCTCTGCCTACATTCCATTTTAAGGAGGTGCCATTCTCAAAATCAGAAAAAGCCTATGTTTGCTTTTCTGTTGGATCAACTACTAGATGCGGAGGAGGCACATGGGAGGGGAGAAGGCTCATTTCCAGCAAGTTTCATCCATACAGAGTTTTTTTGGGTTGGTTCTTTTTTGTTTGGGATGTGTATTTATTCCCCTCAGTTCTGGTAGCTTATGCTTGAGCCTTTTGAGTACACACCAGAGCTTTGGGGAAGTTACCAGGCTTGACAGTCTCTAATTAGCAGGTACAAACAGAGATATAGGGAGGATATTTAGGGAAAAGGGTTATTTCCCTATAAAAGTTTTAGTCTCCGTTGGTGGAGGTGTTACAAAGACTCAGTGAAATGGCTGTATACACTTTTAACATGACTAAGAATGTGCTTTTTTCCTTAGTTCAGCATTAGAATAAAATTATTGAGCTAATACTCACACTATAGGCATTACTATTTGAAAAAAAAGACAAACCCCAACATTTCTCGACGTGTCTGTTGTTACTGGCTTGCTTTTAACAGTCCAGTTTTGCTCTCTCACCTACAGCTTTCTTCGTTAAGAATAGGAGCAGAAATGCCTGGTGTAACCCTGCCTGGCAGGTTTCCTACAGAGCCCTGTGCTCCTATGGATCCCAGAGTAGAGTCTGAGTGCAAGTGAGTGGTAGGAAGACTTCCCACAATTAAACAACCACCTGAACTTGCTCTTTGAATGTATTTGTGCACCAGTGATATTCAGTGGCAGCAGGAAAAATAGTCCACAGACTTGTCCTGTGGAAACATTAGAAGCCAGAGATGTCAAGATACCAAATATTTGGTATTTCCTCCTTAATTATTCTATAACAACTTTCTATAATAACTTGCTTCACTGGGGATTCAAGATCAGCTACCGTTGAGCTTTCTCCATGTGCCATTTATGAAACATTAAGCTTTTGTATAGGCCTAATTATCTCTGTTTTCTGTAGCTCCTTCCTCTGCATTGTGAGGCACCTGTGGCCAAAAGAAGCAGAGTTTGCCATCAGATAACAGAAAATGGCTTTGCTGAGACACACTACCTCTCATTCCCACTATCTTTATCACAAATCAAGTCTTACAATATTTTCTCTGTAACTAAAGGCAAGGGCTATTAGTTCCACATAAAAGTGTATCACACATCAACCTTCACTGATTTTTCCATCTGCCTGAAGGTTAATAGCAACAGCAACTATATTACACTATGTAGTAATGAAAAAAAATAGGAAACATTAGACATTTCAATTTAAATGAAAAGGGAACGGGAATCGATGAAAAAGGTTAACAAGCTTTGCTTTGCTTCTTCATGACTGTACAAAAATGTCTGGATCAATCTCATCAGGCTGCATTTCACAGTCATGCCATACAGGTCCTCACCCTCATTTTCTTCTTAATCTCAGTGTTAGTAAAATCACTATTTTCTAGTTTCAGTGATGGTTGTGGTCTTTGGCAGTGTCATACATCTTAAGATCATATTCCTTCAGTTAAGGACTCAGTCCTTAAAAAAATCTTTGTTAATTTAGAAGTGAAAAAGCCCAGCTCACTATATATTAAAAAGGAATAACTTAAATAACTCTGAAAACTCAAACATGAAACCAGACTCTACAATTCCCAATTCAGTGAGTCCAATTTTTCTTTTAACCAACATTCTCAAGCAAGTATTTAAGTTTTTCAAAACAAACTATGGTTGAATCAGTTACTTCAGCTCCCTCTGAAATGAACGGTTTTGTGGCTAAAGTTGGCTACAGCTGACTTTGTAACTGCATGTATGTTACTTGAGGGATTTTCAGAAAACCAAGACAAAAGTGGAAGAAGCAACAAGAAACTGGTTTATTTGCAGGTAACTTTCAAAGAGAACAAATTATTAAAACATTCTGAAATACAGAGTAAAAAGTCTCCCAGAGATCTTTCTCTGTTCCTGGAGCAATGTTTTGAGAACTGTGAGGAAGTTTGGGTTATTTTTCCATAATCTTAAAGCTTGCTTTTCCAAACTTTCATTTGTGGCGCTAAGGAGTCACATTACTTTCCCAAGTGTTGGAAGACTAAATCTCTGACTTCTCTTTGTGACTTTTATATTCTGCTGCTCAGTGACCATGGATCTCTGATTATACAGGCATCTTCAGCCAGCTAGGCCTCAGTTCCTCCTAGATGAGGTACCTATACAGGTGGGAAAACATGGTGCTGAAAGGCAGCCTGTCAACACTCACCAAACTCAGAGACCTGTGATTTATATTCACATGAAACTGTAACCTGCAATATTATTTTTTTCTTTCATTTTATGATAACTGTGAGAAGTTGTGAGACCAAGTGTCAAATGCAAAGCTCCATCTAGTCAAGCATGTTGCCTGTTGCAAGTGGTCAGTAAGCTGTTTGTAGGAAGATGAGACACACACAGGTGCATGCTGTAAGTCTTTTACAGGTGTAAAAGAGTATTAAGTACAAGAGTGCAGTAGGGAAGATGGGAAAAAATTCTTTCTTTTGGAGGATTCAAATCTATGAGTTGCAGTTATCCTAAAGTAGCTTATAAACAACTGACAAACAGGCAGGACCAAGATCCAGAGGCCCCACACATGGGGGTGTGATAAGTACCTTCACTATTGCAGCACAACCACTCCAAAGCTAAAGGAAGAGAAGCTCTGAGACTGAAGAGGGAGTTGAAGACTCTACTGGAGTTTCACACTTAACATGGCAAACCCCTCATTTATCCCCATATTGCTCCAGTATGACACAGTGGCCATGGAGTTCACCTCTCGGAACTCTCCAACAAAGGCACCCTTTGAGTG